TTTTTTTTTTTATTAAATCATATTTGTGCACATTAATACTATCATGGGATACAGTGTATTGTTTCCATATACAATTTGAAATACCTTCATCCAATTGGCCAACATAGCCATCATGTCATTCTCATAATTCTTAATAGTTTTGAAGTACCAATTTTGCTCCTCAGTCTTGCCTGATCAGATAAACTCTGTAAGATAAAGATTCCGACATTTTGGCAACAGACTTGGATTTTAGAAAATGCATTTCCCTCAACTTTAAAGTTTTAAGTCCTCTTTTCTCTTCAGATTTGCGAAAGAAAATGCCTTTAACAAAGGTCCTGGTGGGCTGGCACCTATGTCTGCTTAGCTTCAGGGAGGACTGGCTTGTGCAGCAAGAAACTGCTTCCTCCATATCTGATCTAGAAGTCCCATTGGTTGTATGATCTATGATTAAATATAACACTCTCTTGTCAGGGTGTATTCTACCCTCTTGGCTATTTAGTATCCTTGAAATTCAACTTTAACCTTGACTTTCTACACCAAGAGTAGGGTTTGTCTGAGAAGACCCATCACCAGGTCCCACCAGGTTGGCAGAAGACCTATCACCAGGTCCCACCTTTTGGTGGTACATGGGTACAGTTGGGAGTGAGGTTGATTTCAAGCATTTGCTATGGTTTACAAATGAATTTTATTGCAATAACATAATTCGCACTTGCCCTCTGATGTGTTTTCTCAAGAAGGAAGGAAGGTCAGAGTGATGCAGTGTGTGCAAGAATTACCTTGAGCTCTATGTACCCCCGGGGATCCTATGCTGGTTCATGGGTCCAAGAAAAAAACCTGCACTCACATCAGGCTCTAAACACTCAAATTCCAGCCCTCCCCTCCCTTTTTAAAAATAAATAGAATGTCCACCTGAGATTGGGTACATTCTGAAGAGGAAGAATGCCTTTCTCACTCTGTTAAGTAGCACTGAGGTGCATTTATGACGCCAAGTGTGAGAAATTAACCACCAGCTGGGGACAAAGGCCAAAGGGCTTTTGTGCTGTTAGACTTCTCTGTTGCAGGAATGGGTGTGCATTGCAGACTCACACCTCTGACAATCTCAACCAGATGGGATAAGGGCCATTCAGGTGGGAACAACTTCTAGACTTTATGGGATAGTCATACCATGGAATGTTATGCAGCTATTAAAAAAACATGCTTTTGGAGCTATTTTAAGACATGGAAAGGTATTCGGAGTACAATACAAAGTTTGTAAAAGGGCAGGCCCAAAATTACTTTCTCAGTATGAGGCAAGTTTTGTTATTTGTGTTTATATATATATCTACACCAGAATGTCAATGATAGATGCACATGTTTTGGGGTGACTCCATTTTGGATAATTTCCAGTATTTTTCAAATGTTTACAATGTGTGTCCATTATTTTTATAATGAAAAAGACACATTATTGAGTTAGCATAAGATTAAAAAAACTTTTGTGGATACAGGATAATATAATGAACCCTCATCTCTGGACCTATTCTTAGGGACCCCCTTCTTTAAAAATTACCCCAATTATTGGCTAATTGTGTTTCATCTATGCCACCATCTACTCCCCCCTTACCCATATTACTATATTTTAATTGACAGACTTTATTTTTTGTTTTATACAATAGTTTTTTGTTAAAAAAAAAAGTTGAGCAGACAGTATGGGGAATTCTCACATATTCCTTCCCAAGCTCCGTCCCATTATTAACACCCAGGATAGGCGTGGTGCATTTGCTACAAGTGATGAATCAATATTGATACATTCTTACTAACTAAACCACAGTTTAGATTAGGGTTCATTCTTTATTTTGTACAGTTCTGTGAATATAAATGTTTTATTCTACAATTTGTTAAGTGGATTATTCCCAAGACTACAAATGTCTGAACCAAATTAACCACCTGAGGTATCTAAATTGCCTTCCACTTCTATAGAACCAGAGAGGTGATGAAAAAGCCCTTTAGAACAGTCTGAAAACTATGAAGTTAAGAAAACAGCAGCCCACACTAAAATCCCTACTCCTCGTACAGGAGGGCAACTGAAGTGTGAGTTGTTGGCTGCCCGGTGTTTGGAGGAGCCCTGGGCCTGGGAAAGGCAGAGCCGGGCTCCTCTGGGAGCAGTAACTTTAATTGGAGCATGGTGGTTGTTGAGACAGTGGGAGTGGGAAGGGGAGCTCCGAACTCTCCCCAAGACTGATTGGAGCCAAAACCTACAAAGGGGATTAAAAAAATTAAAAAGTAATCCTTCTGGCAACCTAATTAAATGGAGGATTTCTCAGCAGTGGAATGGGGTGGGGGTTAGGTGCCCTGCCATGACATCACTGAGGCCTGGCAGCTCTTTTCCGGACACCTGCCAGACGCTAATTAGTCAAGTCCTCCAGAGCAGGGATACAGGTGGCAATGTGGAGGGAGCAGAGGTCACTCTCCCCGGGCCATTTGCAATGAGTCAGAATTTAATGCCCCGTCCTCTAGGCCAATCATTAAGCTTTTGCTTTCTATACACAAGAGGATCAAAATTGTCAGAGCCAGCTGAGTTAGTCCCTAAATCTGTCATGCCAGTTGTTGTAGAGACCACAATGACTGTTCTATGTTCAAGAACATCACTGACAAGCATTTACTGAGCGCTCCAGCATCCACACCAGGCTTTGGGGACACAGTGGAGGCAATGCAGACCAGGCCTCAGCTTTGTGGTACTGAGCTTGTGGGACACTGTGCCCTAGGACAGTGTGATATGCTCTTCATTTGCTTATTTCCAGAGGCCATACCTGCCTTCACCCCTCCTACTATAACCAAAGGCACACATCTATTCAGAGACACATGTTGTCTAGATTTCCTGAGAATGAAGCAGATCAAAAATGGAACTCTAAGTTTCCTGGTTACCAAACATTCCACCTATCACAATGGTGTGGATGGAGGTCACAGAGAGAGCCTGGCACCGGTCACACGTCCCCCCTGCCTTCGTTTGAGGCCGTAGATAGGTGCCAGTCACTTCTCTTCACCTTCCCAGCCAGGACCATCACACTCAACCCAGGATCATTCTGATTCTTTAGGA